ACTCGGCTCCCCAATATCCGAGTGCAACACTCATGGAATGTGAAATTCCACAAGAACTCTGCTGGGTGTGGGAGCTGTTTAATGGGAGATGCCACTTCCTTCTAATCCTGGGGGAATTTGGAATGAATAAAAATCCCAGCCCTTATTTTCAGTCTCAACTTGTGCTGCTGATAGAAATACAGAAATAGAAAGGGATCACAGAAATCTTCTCCATGAAATCCACGTGGCCAGGAAGGCAAAATCAAATTAAACCTCAAGAGGTTGAGGCTGACAAGTTTTGTGACAAATTAGGAGATTTTGGAAAGCATTGTCATGTTTTCCAAGGAATTAAAGATGTCAAGTTTTGAGAGGCTTTTATTGGGGTTTTTTTTTCCTTCCACAGCCAAAGAAACAACAGAACCCTGGATAATGAAAGAGGAGCTGACAGATAATCTAATAATGCCTTTATTTCATTTGTTCTGTTTATAAACTCAATTTTTGAATGCAGGACAGAACTGTAATTTTCAGAGAAACTTCTCTACTACACCTCAAGAAGGAATTTGGGGTTTTTATCCCATATTCCAAGGCACAGCAATTCCTCCGGGCTGAAACGCTGCTCGGTGCTGGCACCGACCTCCTTCATGTACAAAACCACACAAAACACAATTCACAAACTCTACCTGAAAACAGATTGTTCAGACACAAGTGATGTGTGAAAACCCCTTGATCTCTCCATCAGAACTGAAAACAGGGGCCTCAAAAGGCTGGAAAAGCAACAATTTTGTGGCCCAATCCACAAAATTATGAACAGCCATTCAAATCCTCACCCCCTTAACTGAAATTTCACTTTACCAAATTATTTTGCTCAAAAACATGAAAATTTTGCTTCCACTTCTTCTGTGCTCTTTAAAAATCTTGTGATTCTAAACAGAATTTTTTAATTCCTGAAGGGTTAACGATGATTTTTTCATTGTCAATACTGACTCTGTCCCCCAGTTGTGCCATTTCCCTGCAGCCCCTTCCTCCTCAATCCTGCAGGAAAACAGCCCCAGAATTCCACCTGGGAGAATCCCCAGCTGTGACCCTAGAACTCAAATAATCAAAATAATTGTTTGCAATGATTTATGGAATTCAAAAGAAATGTTTGCTCAGTGCCAGAGACTCCTGACAGAAAGGGGAAGGTTGGGAATTCATCAATCCCAGAGGGTCCATCCCCAAAAAAATCAAAGAATCAAAAAAGTCCAGTTGTGGTTGTGTCCAGGCCTCCCAGAATTTACCTTTTTTTTGCACATTTGCTGCTGGGTGAGGCCCCAGGAAAGGGAAGGATAAATTAAGGATTATTAAACCTGGATTGTGACAGAATTCCTGAAAACCTGGGCAAGTCCAAAGCTTCTCCAAATCAAACCTTGACAAGTCAACCCAAATTTCTGACTCTGTGTGACTCCCTCTCATCCCCAGGCACTGCTGAGTTGTCTCCAGGGAAATGTTTTTTCCAGGCCTGGAATTTTCAGTGTGTGAGCTCAGGCTGATTCATGGACCTGCACCTTGAGAAGAAATCCCCCACCCTGCATGATCCTCTGCTCCTCAATCCATGCTTTGCTTCCAAATTGATCGATTCAAATCTTCCTGCAAATTCAGGCTCTTCAGAAGCAATTCCAAGAAGGAGCAATTAGCTCTTAAATTAAGTTTAAACCAGCAAAAATCCTGAAGGTTCACAATGTTAATTTATTTATCACCGAGTGAAATAAAAGGATATAAAGTGGTTTACATCCCCTAATGAGTTATAATATCAACTGCAGTGAACACAGGGAAGAGACTCAGCAGCCACTGCTCACTGATAAGGGCTGAGGAATTATTATTCCTCCTACAAGTCTGGATTAGCATAGTGGGATAGTTTATTATAATCTGTAAAAATCCTCCTGATAAAAATGCAATTAGGTCGGCCAAGGGGTTTGTAACTCACAGAAGAAATAAATATATAGATATATATAAATTTTAAAAATAGAATTCTGGTTATTTTAGGGTTTATACACCAATGCCTTGATTATATTTCTTTAGGTCTGTTTGTTTTCCTAAAGGTTTTATGCAGGAGCAACAACATTTTTGCTAAATCTAGAACAGTCCCCCCACAATTCATTCCACACCACATTCCCTGCTTTACAACCTCATTTAAAATCACCTCAACTCTCAATTTTGCATTATTTGACCCCAATCCCATTTGTAAACAAGGAAACATTCAGCAGAAACACAGCTCTGGAATTTGGGGGATGTGGAGCCAGGAGGCTTTGCCAAATGGCACGTTGCAAAGTGGGTTCCAAACTCAGTTCAATTCTTCTGCTGATTAAATTTAATGGTAAAACAAACATTTTAATGATGCACACCTACAAAAATACAGCAAATTCAAACATCCCATCTGGTACAAAACTGCATCTGAGGAACCTCCACATTAATAAGGCAATGCTCAACCCCCAATGAGTTTTGTTCAAGGACACCAGGATGGATCTCGGCTCGTTAATTTAGTGCAATTAATCTGCAGTTCCATTTAACTGTCCCACTCTCATTAAAGACAAAAATATAAACGTTTTTATCTCTATACTTGTTATCAATTAACCACAAATGTATATGGAACAGAACCAGACGTTTGTGGTCTGTATTTCACCTGGAGCAAAAAAAATGGGTCCAGGAAAATACCTGAGCTTCATTTACCTCTGGATTTTCTCCATTTACCTCTGAACACCTCCAAGCTGGCCTTGGGCACTTCCAGGGATCCAGGGGCAGCCACAGCTGCTCTGGGCACCTGTGCCAGGGCCTGCCCACCCTCACAGGGAACAATTCCTTCCCAGTATCCCACCCATCCCTGCCCTCTGGCAGTGGGAGCCATTCCCTGTGTCCTGTCCCTCTATCTCTTGTCCAAAGTCCTCCTCCATCTTTCTTGTTGTCTCTTCCAGGTCCTGGAAGGCTGCAGTAAGATCACCCTGAAGCTTCTCCAGGTGAACAATCCCAGCCTTTCCTCCCAACAGAGCTGCTCCATCCCTCAGATCATCCCACAGCCTCCTCCAGACTCCCTCCAGCTCCTCCCTGTGCTGTGCCCGGGGCTGGGGCAGCTCTGCAGGTGGGGTCACACCTGAGAGGCAGAATCGTGGCCAGCCCCCCACCCACCAGCTCCTGGCATTCCCACAGGCCCAATTCTCAGCCAGGATCCCGAGGTATTTACTGGATTTATTCCCATTTTTTTCCAAGAGCTGCTCTCCTGGCAGCACCATCTCCCACAACAGCCTTTAACAACCACAACTTTTTGTTACAGCAGCAAAGCCAGCATGAGTTTGGTGGCAGGAGAAAGGCAAGGAGCCTGGAGAATCCCATTCCTGTGGAGAACCCGAAAATCCCTGTCCCTAACTTATGGGAAGCTCTGCCTTCTGCGATGGATGGGGAAGAGGGAAGGACAAAGAGCTGGTACCATGGAACAGCCTTTAATTGGAAACAATCAACAAGTGATAAAGGGATTTATGGATGAAAAACAGGGAATTCAGGGAAACATTGTCCCTCTGCAACTGGAGTGTCCCCAGTGCCAAATTAAACACATCCAGCCCTATTTTCTCTCGAGTCCCACAGGCCACAGTCTGCTCCAGAACAAAAAGCCTTCAGTGCTCTCCTGGCATCACAGCTTTGATAATGTGCAACTTCAGACCAACAGCAACAAATATTTGGGGCAGAGATTCCTGCTGTCTTCAAGACTTCTGTCTAAATGATGGTCAGACTGGCTGAGGAGCAAAAATTTGTAACCCAAACCAAAAGATGAAGCACCACCAACAGCCAGGACAGATTTCTGATGGCTGCAGAGATACAAAAACAAACCAAACCAAACCAAGCAGCTCAGGTCTGACAAATCCCTTCAGAAACTCAGAATAGTGCAATTTACAGAGGAAAGCATTCACTGAGCAGGAATTAATAGGGTCCCAAAGGGGCCATGGGTTCCTGAAAAGATTTCTGAAGCCTTTTGTGCATAAACCACAGTAAAAAAGTTCAGCTCGTGCACAAGAACTTGAAGATCTCTAAATTAATGACAAAAAAAATATCAGCCCAGATTTCAAAAAGATTCTTGAAGAAACAATTGTTGAGAAAAGAGTGTTTAGCAAAAACCCTGGTGTAAACTCAGGTTACTTCCTCTATGATCCAAGTCCTTATTCCATGTATTTTGTTGCTGTTATTACACAACCCAGTCACAATTAATCTTTTCAGTGTATGACCCCCTCAAAAGCAGACGTAAAACCAGACACAGCACCTGCTTAAAAGAAAAATTAAATGCCTGCACACCTTTGTAATGGAGAATAAAAAGTGGTTATTTAGAGAAGTACGAAATGTTTTCCAGCTATAAAAATACAAAAAAGAAGGAGGAATTGTTGGAGAAAAGAGTCTTTTGTTAAGCAGATTTCTCTGGCTGGGATCACCTCGATGATAAGATGACAGACACATCAAGATTTAGGTATTTAAAACCACATTAGGGAAGTGAGACACGAAGGGAAGGTCAAGCCTGCTCTTTCAGCAAAGTGCATTAGATTATTCAAGAGATTTTCCATCTCCAGCTTCTAACTCCAAAATAAGCAGAGATATTTTTCTAGCAGGATTCTTTAGCAAACAAGCTCATAAAACACACTCAATTGTACTTCTGGTGCAGAGAAGTAAAATGAGAAGCAATTAGAATGATGATGAACTCATTAAGTCAAAATAGCTATAAATAAAAGCAGAGCATGTCTCAAAAACCTGTCTGAAAGAGCTGCTGAGGCTTTTCCAGGGGATGGATGAAGGAATCTGGTTAAAGTCAGGGTGAAATGTGGGAAGAGCTGCAAACTGTCCCTGGAGCGGCTTCTGAGTAACATCACAAAACTGCTACAAAAATTACCTTCAAGATAAATGAAATCTACCTCCAGCAGCAGCCTCTTGCCAGCCAAGCAGAGAGGAGGAAATGCCCAAACCCTGGATCTGTGGGGTTTTTAGGGCAGTGGGGAGTGCCGTGTCCTTACCATCGGACTTTATTGCAGGTCTGGGTGGCGCCCAGCGGGGACCCGGCCACCATGGGCACCTGGATGGGGCTGTGCTGCTTGTTCATGACCAGGTCCAGCTTCTCCTCCAGGGATTTGCAGGTGGCCTCCAGTGCCAGCAGCTTGGCCTCGATGCTGTCCAGCCTCAGGCATATGGTCTGGTTGATGGAGTACAGGAACGACTGGGGAGGGAGAAGAACCCGGATTGAGCGCTCTGAGTTTAGCCCCACTCCCAAGGAAGCTCCAGATAAACGTGCCTGGGAACCAATCCTAAAGGAACTTGCAGCCTGTCTAGTGACAAAATCCACTCCTGATGACATCCAGGAGCTTTTCAGCGGGCTCGGATTCTTCCAGATCTTTATTTGGGAGCCAAAAGCAGCCCAGCCAAAGCCATTTTCACCTAAGCACTTTGTCAGGATGATTTCATCCGCTGCAAAATAATTTCTAATGACTTGCCTTCCAGTCCACATGTGAAAACAAAAGGATTATAAATCTCTGGATGCATCCTCCTGGATAAAGTTAGTAAGTTTTTTTTTCCTGCCCAAACAGATAAATTGCAGTGGAAATTGTATCAACACAAAAAATCTCGGAGACAATTAATGCCACTCACTTCAGCTTCCTGCTGAACAGCAAATCAAGAAAAGCAAATAAATAAAATCTGTTTTGCTAAGCAATCTTTTTGAAAAGTAAACATACTCCAGTCGGGTTCTCCTGGGAAAACAGGCCATTAGAGGGAAGAGCTGCACTCTGTGTGTGCTTTGCAAACAGCAGCTGTGCCATCTTGTGGCCCTGCAACCACCGAGCACCCCAATCCCCTCCTTCACCGAGCTCCAGCTCCTGGGATCACCCCAAAAACACAGAATTACACAGGACAGTGTCTGTGGCACTGAAACACTCATCATCTACTCACACTCCAGGGTAAAAACCCAGGGGTTTTTGGTTTAGGGTTCTAAATCACAGCAGTGAGAACAGCAGGGCAACTTCTGAGCTCCTGAGACAGAATTAAATCATCTTTTTATTTTTTTTAATTTTTATTATTAAATTAAATTGAATTATCTATCAGGAGAATGCTGCTAGCTTCAAATAATAACTTCAAACATGCTGAAAGTATCTATAAAATTGCAACACAAATACAAGTTCATCTTTTTGGTCAACTTAATTTTCTTTATCAAAAAAATGTCCCAGTGTTTTGGGTCAGTGGAATTAATTCTGGTGATATTTTATATTGCATCTGAAATTCTTGCTACTAATTCTACACTGGAAAATTAGATAATTATTCAGATTTTTAAATTTATGCCTAAAAATGCACAAGTACCCATAAGAATAATTCCAGTGTTAGGTATAAACAGTTTATTTTACATTCTTGTAATAACTTTCCTAAAACTTAATTGGTCATTAGAAATAAAACCAGGAAAGGGCATTAAATAACCTTAATAGAGGGATCCTGGCAGTTGATTTCTATCCTCTGACGTTTCAGGGCAGGTTCCACATCATCATCTGCCACCTCATGGTTCTCCAACACAACTGCAAAGGAAAAAAAACCGTCAGAGTTTAGAATCCGAGAGGACAAGGCTCAAATTAAAAATACAGTAAGTGGACAAAACAAAAGCGCAAAAATTTAATTAAATTTAATGCTTTGACGCTTGTTCAGGGTTTCTCTCAGATATCTGACAGCGGTGATGGGACCAGGTTTGAGCTCCTGCACCAATTTGAGCAAAGACTTTTGAGGAATGGCAGATCTCAGCTTCTCCTCCAACTCTTTGGGAGCATTTCTGAGGTAATTTTTTCATTTTGTATCAGAAAAAGCAGTTTTTTGGCCTGTGTCTCTCACTTCCATTGCTGTTCTTTCAGTCATTAACTTGCAATGGCCACAGAGGACCAACATCTCAATGTATTTTCACTTAGGAAGTCAATTTCTGAGCAACTGATATCCAAATACTTCCTTTCAGAAGTGTTTTTCAATTCTACTGTCCAAAGAATTTTAATAATGGATGAGCCAAGCTTTCTTACACATAAAACAATTCCTAATGGATGGGGGATGGCTCCCATTGGAGGAAAAGTCTAAACCATGGAGAAAAACAAGACTGCAGGAATATTTAATTGGTTTTGGGGTTAGTCTACCCCTGCACAAAACCCAAACAGGCAACAAAGCCTTTAAGAGAAAAGTGAAACAAATCAAATCTAAAATAATCTAATCTAAAATAATCTAAAATAATCTCAAGGGTTTGGAGATACACAAGTGAAGCTATGGAAAATACGGGATATGGGCTTCAAAAGCACCTTTTGCAATAAAAAATCAAGTCTGTATTTTAAAGAAAAGCTCAGCAGTGATTTCCAGTTCATGGGCACTGCTGTAAATCCCCTCCTACCTGGATTATCTGGAGTCAGGTCCTCAACAGCGATCTGAACCACATCTGCCAAATCCTGCTCTGACATCATTCAGAACCAGCAGCAAAACCCTTCCAGCACCTCTGCAGCTCCCAGGGCAGGAGCTGGCCCAGGCATGCACTCCTGCAAAGCAGCAGCAAGGAGAGGGTCAATATTCGGGAAATATTTCACCTGGCATCAACACCTTCAATTCTTCCTCCTCCTTCCATAAAAAGATTCAGTTCTCAGAAAAATGAGCAGCCTACAAAGGGATTTCCAGGAGGAAATGTTCCTGCACCCAGGGCTGTGACAGGAGCTGAAGCTTTCCTGCCTTTCCCTTGCACATTCCCAAAGGATAAGGAGAACTTCCAGGACTCACAAAGCTCAGGAAGACCCAAGACACACCAGATTTGCAAAAACTGCAAATTCGGGATCTTAACAGGACTCTAAAATCTTTCTAAACTCAGTGAGGACAAGGAGTTGCCTCACATCTTATTACAACTAAAGCAAAACTTGACTTTTTTCTTTAGGATGAACTTGCCTGTTTTTTTTCACAGCTCAGCTCCATTTTCAGGCATCATGATCCTGATTTTAAAGACAAAATATTTCTCAGCCTTGCTCCCCTGGAATTCTCAGTCCAGGTTATTTATTAGTGTTTTAAGAGAAACCTTCAACCTGTAAAACTGAAATTAAATCACAGCAATCTCTCCAAGCTGTGCTTTCTCCCAGTTTACAAAGGGCTGGACAAGGAATACCAAGAGATCAATGGATTTTTTTTTCCCCTTTTTTAACCTGGAGTAAAAAAAGCGGGAGAGATAAATGGAGATTTACCGATGGAAATGATAATTCATCCATTAACACAGACACGGAATCAAATCCAACTCAACACTGACATGAAATCAAATCCAACTACTCACAATGATTTTCCTCTTCTACTTGAGCCCAAGAAATCCATTAAGCCAGACATGGAGAGGATAATTTTTTAGGAGAGCAACACAACCTAGAGAAGGATTCTGAGGAGGCCTCCCCACATCTCCAAAGTGTTTACTCAAAATACCAGCACTGCCAGCACTGAGTCACTTGAAATTCTGCTCATGGTGAAAGACTTTTGGGCCAGCACAGAGCGTGGCAGCAAGCCCAAAATCCCTGGCAGTGCTTCTGTGCTTGTGGATGCCATTTTGGCAAGTGAAATTTGCCATTTCTGAGAAGTCCTGGTGCCCGGCCAGGCTGAGCAGAACAAAGCAGCTGTGCTGCACTCGCTGTTCCATCGTGTCACACATGGCCTGCAACGCCAGAGCCCTGCCCTGCCCTTCAGGGGACACATTCACCACTCCAAGCACTAAAAAAGGCCAAATTAGAACAAAACCCAACTGTTGAAAAGATTCTTATTTACAGGATTCGCTGTCATTCGCTTGGTTATGTACAGGACTCACTGACACTGCACGTGTTGCATCGGAACCACTCATAGCTACACATTACTCTGAAGAAATTGCAATAATTTTGTATAAATCCACTTGAATACTTCATGTTTAGCACAAAAAATCCTGAGTTTGAAGGTCCAACTCCAAGCCCTGCACAGACAACCCAACGATCCAACCATGTGCCTTCAAAATTAAATTAAAAAAAAAAAAAAATCACCAAATTCAACATTTCTTCACATGATTTGCTGTTTCCAACACCCACTGTCCACAGGCTGAAAGTGTTCAACTTCACCTCAGCAATACCCAAATATTCTTGAAACAAGGGCACAGCCACCAACCTACAACTGGCAGAGCAGCTACAACACACACACAGACAAACGTGTGTTCATCACATCAGTATTTATTTCCATTTAAATTAATTTTATTCCAATTTCACTAAGTCAGACAGCTTGGAAGAAATCAGCCACAATTCTGCCTTTTCAAAGCCAAGACAAAATTCCCTTCTGCTGCCATGCTGTATCAAAACATAAAGGGGAAAACAAGTAAATTTGTTCTCAACCCTGGGGATTAGGAAAGCAACGTCCAAGGAAGCTGCAGCCACTGCAGTTATCACACCTTGAATAAAGCGTCCCTCTTCCAAATTCACCATTTCCATTTCTAACAGTAAATTTTAACAGTGGGCTGACCTTGCTTTCAGAACCAAGGGGAAAAACGTGATAAAATTTAACAGGATGACAGTTAGAGGATTTTATCAGCTTCTAAAAGCTTCAGTCAACAAATTCAGAGTAACTTTGCCATTAGAGTTTCCACGTACTTTACTCGGTGAAGTATTTACCAGCGCTTCCTCACGTAAAACACGCTTTTTCTTGAAATTTGCTCTATATTCCCCTTTTTTTTCCCTTAATTTCCACCTCCTGTCTGAAACTCTAGTCCCCATTAAATCTAAATTAAGCGTATGTACATTGGCATCGAGCCACCAGTGCTGAACCATTCCCAGGAACAAATTTTTAGTTATAAAAAAGAAATATTAACAGAAAGCCAGGAAGCTCGGGATAAACCACAGCAGGGCCAAGGAACGTGCCCACTTCTCCTCCCCCAGGCAGCACATGGAAGTTGGATCAACACAGGAATATTTTATGATCACTTTGCCCCTCCCTGGGGGAGGGGATGGGGAAGGTTCTAGCAGGCAGTGGAAAATATCCCATTAAAGGAGGGCCTGGCCAGCCAGGATCACACTAATTCCAGCCCAGTGCTTTTGGTGGATCTAAGCCACACTTATGGATTCTCCCAGAGAATTCCAGCGGCTCCTCCAGCTTTTAAAGTGAGGAGCAGGTTATGGTGTGTCCTGGAGGGATTTCCTCCCTGCTCCACTCCCCATGCCCTGGGTGCTTCCAAAGAGGACAGGCTGGATCCATCAGGTTCCACACAACAGCCCCTGGAGCTGCAGGCTGGAAAGCTGGGAAAGGAGAGGGGCTGAACTGGAGCCCAGGTGAGCCCAGGTGTGCCCAGGGCCACTGGCAGCAGGCTGGCACCAGCCCTGGCACAGGACAGGGACTGTCCCCTGTGCTGGGTACGGCTGAGGCCACAGCTGGAGTTCTGGGTCAGGTTTGGGCCCTGGCAGGACAGACATTGAGGGGCTGGAGCATGTCCAGGGAGCGGAATGGAGCTGGGAAGGGGCTGGAGAATTCCTGAGGGAGCTGGAAAAGGAGCTCAACCTGGAGAAAAGGAGGCTCAGGGGGAATTTCTGGCTCTGCACAGCTCCCTGCCAGGAGGGGACAGCGACAGGAGGAGAGGGAACGGCCTCAGGCTGGGCCAGGGGAGGCTCAGGGTGGACAGCAGCAGGAATTTCCCCATGGAAAGGGGGATTGGGAATTGGAAGTGCCCAGGGAGGTTTGGAGTGCCCATTCCTGGAGGTGTCCCAGGAATTCCTGGATGTGGCACTCAGAGCTCCGGGCTGGGGACAAGGTGGGGACTGGGCACAGGCTGGTGACCCCAGAGCTCTTTTCCAACCTCAATAATCAATTCTGTGAAATCCCAGCTTCCCCAAACATTTCTAACCCCTCAGAGCTCTTGCAGCCCATCACCAGAGCAGCTCTTCCACTGTCCCTCCTTTCCCCACCCCAGGCCAGACCCCACTTTGTTCCCCTGATCCAACAATCCCACCAGATGCCTGCTCCTGCTGCATAAATGTAACCACAATGAAAAATTATCTCATTTTCCCTCAAAATTGGGAGCAAAGCAAAGCCTTGAGCATCCCTAAAAGCACTTGCCTAGAAGTGGCTCCACTACTGGCTACTCAAAAAAATTCATCACAGACAACTAAAGATACAAATTTAAAGCTGATTAGATAAATCACATTAAATATCTCTGCCAATACTCTTACTCAGAATTGATACACTTAAACACAGAATTCAATCAGCCTTTGTTTAATTAAGTAAATTAATATTTGTAAGCAACTAAATTAAATTCACCTGAATTCCAGATTAGCTTTTCCACACACAAGTTTAATGTAATTTAATTAATCTATTTTAAAACATTAATTCCAAATAATTCTTCTGAGCAGTCCCTTGTAAACAAAGCTATTTACTGAAATATCTGATGGCTTTCCCGAGTCACGGGGCAGCATTCCAAAGTGGATAATCAAACCCATCCAATGCCTTGTTAACACGGGGAAACAGAAATGTTCTCCCTCATATTAATTAGCAAGGGTAAATATTATCTTTTAAAAAATCAAAACATATTCCAAAGCTCTGCTTGGAGTGTGGAATTGCACTGCTCTGGCTGCAGCAGCTGAGCTCTCTTGGATATTTCTCAGTGCTATTGATAAATGAAAAAAACTTCCTTCAGATTCCAGCTTGCACTTTGGCAAATATTCCCTGCTGGTCGTGTGGGAAAAGCTGGAAAATGCCATTTCCCCCTGCCCAGCCCAAGAGCCTCAAACGTTCTTCCTCTTCTTCATTGCACTTTTCCTTTAAATCAATTAGAGGCAATTCTCAAATATAGAATTTCTGTTCCAAAAATCTTTATACAACCTCATTTGGAATCATGGAATTGTTTGGGTGGGAAGGGACATTGAGGATCATCCCATTCCACCTCCCACTGTCCCAGGCTGCTCCAAGCCCTGTCCAGCCTGGCCTTGGTCACTTCCAGGGATCCAGGGGCAGCCACAGCTTCTCTGGGAAATCCATCCCAGGGCCTCACCACCCTCATTCCTTCCCAATATCCCATCTCTCCTTGCCCTCTGTCCATATAAAATCACTCCCCTCAAATTAATTTAGCTAATTAATTGAGCCAAACAGCTCATTTTTCTGGGTCAAAGGTCCTTTATCCTGCAAAAACTCTGATTCAGCGACACTTCTCAAGGTTTTCCAAAGCAGGTGAACACAAAGCCCAGGCCAGTGACAGGAATAAATCCAGCATAGGATTTATTCCAGGAGGAATTCTGGATTTACTCACATCTTACCACAGCACCAGGATGACAGAAATGACCTCAAACTGCACAGGGATTACGGTATAAACATCATCCACCCTCTCCAGGGGAGATGCAGAGGACAAAGAACTCTTTAATTTGGTTTTTATTTAAATCCCTGGGGTCTCATCCCTGCAGGAAAACAGCCCAGAGGGGCACTGAGCTGCCTCTGGGCAAGGAATTATCCCAGATATCCTAATTTAACTCCACCTGGGAAGCAAACTGTGGAATCCCAGCAAAGCAGCACCCCAAGA